TAATTACTTTTAGCCTACTACTATATTTCAACAAACATTTAAATTAAATTAAAAATAAAAATTTATTGATTGAAATGCATTTCTTTATTTACATGCAAGTCATAAAAACTGTTAATGTATACAAAACACAATGATTGACCCATCTTTCTTTGTTTATGCAAAACAAGGTACAAGAATCGCTACTTCTCAGCAGAGGTGAAAGATGACGTGAAACTGCTCCTTTTGACCAAACTTGCAGAGGGGGAGACCAGATGCACACCTGCTGCAGGAACATCCTCTGAAGTGGGACCTCCTGATATAGATGAACCTGCAGCCAAAAGGCGTAGTCTACTGTTTGCAGCTCACGACGAAATCTTGAAGGAGAACATTGAACAGGAGCAACAGCTGGCCAGCCCTTCAGCTATGCAGGTACAGAACTACCTATCTGAGGTTCCTGTCGAAAGGAGCCAGGACCCATTGGTCTACTGGAAGATCAATGAAAATCGTTTCCCTCATCTTGCTCTACTTGCCCGAACCTATCTCTCTGCCCCATGCACAAGCGTTGAAAGCGAGCGCCTGTTTGGCTTGGCTGGACATGTAGTAGATGAGAAAAGAAGTCGCCTGTCTGGTGACAAAGCAGAAATGCTTTTGTTCATCAAGAAAAACCTGCCACTAATGAAAGTGACTGGAATAAGTCTGTGAGAACTAACTTACCTGTGCCAGTGTTATTTCTTATTACCCACTGACTTGAAAATGTTACACTTGTTGCATTATCTTTTTAATTATTTTTTTTTTAAATGTAACAAGTGAAAGAGTTGAAGGAACTGAACATTTTTTTTTTAGTTAATTTTATAGTTTTAACAAAAATTGTGTAAACTTCATTTATATTTCAGAATACTACCTCATGACAAGTTAAAACAAGTTTGTATTGTTTCTAGGGTATTTTTCAAGGGTATGTTTTACAATAAAATAAGATTGGTAAATTGAAGGTGCATTGTGATCTTGTAACACCTGACACTGTTGCTTATAAAAAAAAATCGGTATCGGCCAAAATCGGAATCGGCAGTTCAGACTTTCAAAAAATCGGTGATCGGTGATCGGCCTGAAAATTGAAATTGGTGCACCCCTAGATTCTGTTCATAAAGCAGTCTAGTACTTTAATGATAGTAAACAGGTGGGCATAAATAAACTACATGTAGTCATTTACAACGGTTTGTGCTAATTTAGAAAAAGAACAGAGCATCGTTAATCTGAACAAAAATCACTACACCCTGTATAATTTCAATAATAAACTTCATAAATGAAAGTTTAAGTAATAAATGAATAATTAAATTTAACATTTATACATTACAACTGAATAAACAAGTAGTTTGAATACATGCAAGGTGTTTTACAACAAAAACAAAACAACATTCATATCGACATGATCAATGTGATTGTTTTATGAAATTTCTTATACAAGGTTCTTGAACGGTCGGCCCCAATGATTCACACGAGAGGAAATAAGACACAGAGACTGTTTCTGCTAGAAATAATAGTGTCATTTATTAATCTGCCACAGAAAAACAGCCATGCAAACATGTACACTTGTACACTCTCTACACACAAATTGATATGAGAGCCTCTCACCGTGACACGTGGTCGGGAAGCCTTCGACCCGAGTGACAGGAATCACACCAACACAGGATGCTGGGCACCTCGCACGTGGTCCGCAGCAGGCTTCTGACTCTCTGTGTTTGTTACATTTCTTATATACCCCTCCCTGACCGGATCGCATGAGAGCAGTGAAAAACAAGTTTGATGGTTGTCAGGAGGACAGACAGAAAGTCGGTATCTCATAAAAACATGTTGTGCAAAATCAAGGCAATAACCTGACCTTGAAAACATGTTTTCCATCATCAAGGCAGTCTGTACAACAGAGCGATGGCTCATAAAAACATGTCTTTCAAACCCAAAGTCGTGGGTGGATGAAAGACCTGTCTACATCAAACTCCGGGTCACTGTAACCGCAAGATGGGCCAGATCCTACGGCCAGAGTACCCCCCGGAGGCTTACTTTAATTCCTCCAAAACACATCTGCAGTACAGGCCTGACTTTGGACAGATAAGCTGCATATAAAGTGAGTATAAGTATAAATTGACATAAAAGCATCAAAATAATCATTCCTATATCAGTGATGTTAAACACGATTGTTGCTTCTTACATAGTAACGGGTGCTGTTTGGTGCCGCTCTGCTGCCGCTCTGCTGCGTGTTGCCCAGTGGCGTAGATGTGCCCGGTGGCGTGGATGTGCCCGGTGGCGTAGATGTGCCCGGTGGCGTGGATGTACTTGGAACTGGTGTGGTCGGGGAAGGGTCAGAAGCGGGGCGGATTGGACAGTCAAAAGCAGAATCTGGCGAACCTTCATCTTCAGTGGGACTTTCTGCATCAAAATAAGAGTGGAAAAACAGCAACAGAGTACAGTTAGCAATGATGCTAACTAATGACGACTTAACCGCGTCAGCCTCGTTTGTTCAGAGTACTTTCAGAAAACGCAAAGAAACGGTTGCATGAGGAAAAGGAAATATGCTTAAAGTAAATAAAATACACTCACCATCAGCTATAGATTCCAGAAGAGCAGTGGCCGTGTCTAGGCCACTCTCCCTCCCTTTGTTGGCTGGGCGTTTGCTGTAAATGGCATCCATTTGTACAAACCACTTCCAGTTTCTTCTGTTTGCTCCACTCCTACCGTTGTGGTCCTTAATCGTTTTCTAATCGCTTTTTAGTTTTTTAAGCTTTCCTCTTTGCTTTGGTGTGCGATGGAAGCCCTGCACCGCCATCTGCGCAGACACCTCTTGAAAAATCTTTTCATTTCGTTTCATTCCATCTAGCTCGCTCTGCACTTGTTCGTCGGCCAGCAAACAGAGAAATGCCTGAACTTCAGCATTCGACCACGGTTGTGCCATGATTATTTGTTTTACCTTATAAAATATTCCAAAATAAGCTCCTCCGATTTCTTGTTGTCTGTTATGCGGGTGAAAAAGAAAATGGTGGATTGTGATTTCCGGTGGAAGACTGAATCTCCGCCCTCCACCAATGAATACGCCCCCTGACCAATCAGTGACCTACAATGCGCTGATGTCACATCTAGACCCTACAAGAACCAGACCTGGGACCTCAGAGAATTAGGTCCTAAAAATGGGGTGGGTTCCACCGCTAAAGGCATTGTTGATAAAACACGCAATCTGCCACAACTAGTTACATAGGAGTACCAAAGGGCCCCGTGGATAAGGGGCTTAAGAGACACTGACACTCTGAGAAGCTCTTTTTATACCCAATCATGTTGTCAACTGACCTAATTAGTGTTGATTGGTCTTCCAGCTGTTCGTTATATGCTCAATTTCCTTTTTCCAGTCACTTATTGGTACTTGTCCCAACTTTTTTGGGATTTGTTGACACTGAAATTTTGAATCAACATATTTTCCTTCAAAATGTTACATTTACTCAGATTAAACTTTTGATCTGTCATCTATGTTATATTACGAATAAAATATTGACATTTGCCATCTCCACATCATTGCATTCAGTTTTTATTCACAATTTGTTTAGTGTCCCAACTTTTTTGGAATCCGGTTTGTATTTGAAAGATAGGAAACAGTTTGTACAAATAAATGGTGTAAGGTCTGACCTCTGCAATATCACGTGTGGAGTTCCTCAAGGCTCTGTACTTGGACAAAAGTTATTTATTTTATATGTGAATGACTTAGTGAATGTATCAGGACTCCTCAAATGTGTCCTTTTTGCAGATGACACCACGTTTTTTTGTTTGGGTAAAGATGTAAAACGGATGTTGGAATTGATGAAGACAGAATTTGATAAAATACAAACTTGGTTTAAACTTAATAAATTATCATTAAATTTAGATAAAACTAAATACATGATATTTAGCAACAAAAAGAGAACTGTTGACGATCCATTTAAAATTGAGGGTGTTGAGATTTGTAGAGTTAATGAGATGAAATTTTTGGGTGTAATCATTGATGAACAGCTAACATGGAAAAATCACAAATTCTGTAAGAATAAAAAATATCTAAATCTATTGCAGTACTATACAAAGTCAGGGAATTATTAAATGATAAAGCTCTGTACATGTTGTATAACACAATCATTGTTCCACATTTAATCTATTGCATTGATGTTTGGGGGAAAGCGTTTAAAACATTTACAAAACCTATTTTTATTTTACAGAAAAGAGCTGTAAGAATTATCACCAGAAAGCATTACAGTCACCCATCAAGCACATTATTTTATCAACTGAACTTATTGATGTTCCATGATTTAGTAGATTACAGTATTTTATCAGTTATGTATAGGGCTCAAAATAACACATTACCATTAAATATCCAAAGAAATGTTGTTAAAAGACAAAGTTGTTATAATCTTAAGGGGATAGAAATATTTGTCAAACCAAAATTCAGAACTAGTCTGAAGGGAAGGTTTACCTCAATCCAAGGAGTTGGATTGTGGAATGTTCTAGAGAGTGATGTGAAAAATGACAAGTCAATGTGTACATTTAAAAAAAAGATCAAAGCTGAATTGTCAAAAAAATATATATGAAGTAGCTTAGTGTGTGTTTTCATATTAGAATTAGAAAAATTAGAGTTATTCATTTTGTTCTGTTACTTGAAAATTATTATGATTGAAATAATTGTTTGAAAAAAGGTGCAGATATAATAAGATTTTTTCTTGTTTCTGCTGCCTTTCATTTTAAATCTCTTGTATTTTTTTATATTGTTATGGAGTTGTTTTGTATTTTTTTTAAATGAATAAACTTTATACCATACCATTATACCATACAATACCAACTCTCTTTAACTCTTCATTTCAACTGTCATTTTTCTTTAGGTAGAAAAATCAGACATTTTTAAGCTAAGGAAATGCATGTGGAGTTGTAAACACAAAGCAGAACATGTTGTTTGTCAGGCCTCATTAACCACAGTTTGTTTGTTTGTTTGTTTGTTTGTTTGTTCGCTCCTGTTGCAGCCAGTGGCGGGATCAAGAAGTCGGGAAAGAAGTGAACTCCTGAAGACAATTGTTTGTTCCCTGTTTGACTCCCTGTTTGTGTAAAGCCTTCAACTGTGCCGTTAAATAAACATGAACCCACTGGCGCTGCACTCCTCCAGCTCTGTCCGTGAATCAAATCATCGCTTAGAGAAAACGGGAAATGTTTCCAGAAAGACCAATAACTCCCTTCTGCTGTATAATGGTAGATTTCAGTTTTTGATGTTTTATAGTTTTAGTAAAAATCTTCAAACCTGGAATGGAAATGAAAGTTTGATGATTTGAAAATGGAAAGTATGAAATAATAATAAAAAAACAGATTCTAACACACAAACACCAATTTTGACCTTTGTTGTGTTGCAAAGTGGGAAGTGTCTTCTTTTGTACTTGTTGCTTTTTTAAATAAGAATTTTGAAGAGAAACTGGGGCAGACTTAACTATCGTTGAAGATCATTTTCAGCTTTTGAACGGAGTCAGTTAAATCATTAAATCTTTCTTTACCAGATAAATTTTTCAAAGTATGTTTTCTGTGAAATAAACTAGTTTTAGTCACCAAAGACTGGTTGAAGGTTTAGATGAGTCATTTCACTCCTTGTTCATGTAAAACCCTATTATCCCACCTCAGTGTGTTTTTTTAATTTTTCCAAGTTTATAATTTGGTGTTGTAGTGATATGGTAAAGAGGTCTGTACACCTTTTTTAATGGGTGTGCAATCAAAATAATAAATGCGAGTCAACCTTGATTAAAATAGTGGTGGATTCTTGCCCCTCTCTGGGCTGCCACCTTACCGTGGTGGAGGGGTTTGAGTGTCCCAATGATCCTAGGAGCTATGCTGTCAGGGGCTTCACGCCCCTAGTAGGGTCACCCCAGGCAGACAGGTCCTAGGTGAGGGACCAGACAAAGTGCAGCCCAAACACCCCTATGATGAGAAAAATAAATGGACTTGATGTTCCCTTGCCCGGACGTGGGTCACCGGGGCCCCACTCTGGAGGTGGGGCACACTGGCGAGCGCCTGGTGGCCAGGCTTTTACCCATGAAGCTCGGCTGGGCACAGCCCGAAGAGGAGACGTGGGTCTCCCTTCCCATGGGCTCACCACCTGTGGGAGGGGCCAAAGGGGTCGAGTGCATTGTGGGATGGGTGGTGGCTGAGGGCAGGGACCTCGGCGGTCTGATCCTCAGCTACAGAAGCTGTCTATTGGGACGTGGAATGTCACCTCTGGTGGGGAAGGAGCCTGAGCTGGTGTGTGAAGTCGAGAGGCTCCGGCTAGAAATAGTTGAACTCACCTCTACGCATGGCTCTGGCTCTAGAACCAGTTTCCTTGAGAGGGGTTGGACACTCTTCCACTCTGGAGTTGCCCCTGGTGAGAGGCACCGAGCAGGAGTGGGTATACTTGTTGCCCCCCCATCTTGGTGCCTGTGTGTTGGGGTTCACTCCGGTGAATGAAAGGGTATCCTCCCTCTGCCTACGTGTGGGGGGATGGGTTCTCACTGTCATTTGTGCTTATGCACCAAACAGCAGTTCAGATTACCCACCCTTTTTGGAGTCCTTGGAGGGAGTAATGGAGAGTGCACCTCCTAGGAACTCCCTTGTTCTGCTGGGGGACTTCAATGCTCACTTGGGCAATGACAATGAGACCGTGAAGGGTGTGGTTGAGAGGAACGACCCCCCTGATCTGAACCCGAGTGGTGTTCTGTTATTGGACTTTGGTGCTCGTCATGGATTGTCAATAATGAACACCTTGTTCAAGCATAAGGGTGTCCATATGTGTTCTTGGCACCAGGACACCCTAGGCCGCAGTTCGATGATCGACTTTGTTGTTGCGTCATCTGATCTGCGGCCGCATGTCTTGAACACTCGGGTGAAGAGAGGGGCGGAGCTGTCCACTGATCACTACCTGGTGGTGAGTTGGCTCCGATGGTGGGGAGGATGCCGGTCAGACCTGGCAGACCCAAACGTATTGTGAGGGTTTGCTGGGAACATCTGGTAGAGTCTCCTGTGTCCTGTGAGACGGAGTTTTAACTCCCACCTCCGGGAGAACTTCAAACATGTTCCGGGGGGAGGTGGGAGACATTGAGTCTGAGTGGGCCATTTTTCGTGCCTCTATTGTCAAGGCAGCTTACCAGAGCTGCGGCCACAAGGTTGTCGTGCCTGTCGCGGCGGCAAACCTTGAACCCGATGGTGGACACCATCGGTGAGGGATGCTGTCAGGCTGAAAAAGGAGTCCTATTGGACCTTTTTGGCCTGTGGGACCTCGGTAGCAGCTGATGGGCACTGGCAGTCCAAGCGACATGCGGCTCGGGTAGTCCCTGAGGCAAAAACTCGGGCATGGGAGGAGTTCGGAGAGGCCATGGAGAATGACTTCTGCACGGCTTCGAGGCGATTCTGGTCCACCATCCGGCGTCTTGGGGGGGGGAAAGCGGTATGCCACCAACACTGTTTATACTGGGAGTGGTGTGCTGCTGACCTCAACTCGGGATGTTGTGGGTCAGTGGGTCGAATACTTTGAAGACCTCCTCAATCCCACCGTCACGTCTTCCACTGAGGAAACGGAGCCTGGGGACTTTGGGTCGGGCCCTCCAATCTCTGGTGCTGAGGTCACCAAGGTGGTTAAAAGCTCCTCGGTGGTAGGGCCCCAGGGGTGGATGAGATTCGCCCGGAGTTCCTTAAGCCTCTGAATGTTGTAGGGTTGTGTTGGCTTACGTGACTCTGCAATATTGCGTGGACATCGGGGGAAGTTCCCTTGGATTGGCAGACCGAGGTGGTGGTCCCCCTATTCAATAAGGGGGACCGTAGAGTGTGTTCCAACTACAGGGGGATCACGCTCTTAAGCCTCCCTGGTAAGGTCTATTCGGGGGTTCTGCAGAGGAGGGTCCATCGGATAGTTGAACCTCTGATTCAGGAGGAGCAGTGCAATTTTTGTCCTGGTCGTGGAACACTGGACCAGCTCTATACCTTCAGCAGAGTCCTGGAGGATGCGTGTGAGTTTGCCTAACCAGTCTACATGTGCTTGTGGACTTGGAGAAGGTGTTTGACCATTTCCCTTGGGGAGCCCTGTGGGGGGTATTCCGGGAGTATGGGGTACCAGGCCGTTCGATATGGGCGGTTAAGTCCCTTTATGACCTGTGTCAGAGCCTGGTTTGCGTTGCCGGCAGTAAGTCGGGCTTGTTCCCGGTGAGAGTTGGACTCCGCCAAGGTTGCCCTTTGTCACCGATTCTGTTCATAACTTTTATGGACAGAATTTCTAGGCGCAGCCAAGGTGTTAAGGGGATCTGTTTTGATGGCCTTAGGATTGCTTCTCTGCTTTTTACAGATGACGTGATCCTATTGGCTTCATCAGGTCGTGATCTACAGTTTTCGCTGGAGCGTTTTGCAGCCGAGTGTGACACTGCCGGGATGAAGATCAGTTCTTCCATATCCGAGACCATGGTCTTGAGCCGGAAAAGGGTAGAGTGCCCTCTCTGCGTCGGGGAGAAGGTCCTGCCCCAAGTGGAGGAGTTCAAGTATCTTGGGGTCTTGTTCACGAATGAGGGGAAAAATGGAGCATGAGATCGATAGGCGGATAGGTGTAGCGTCTGCAGTGAAGCGGGCGCTGTACAGGTCTGTCGTGGTGAAGAAAGAGCTGAGTCAAAAGGCGAAGCTCTCAATTTACCGATCGATCTACGTTTCTACCCTCATCTATGGTCATGAGCTTTGGGTTGTGACCAAAAGAACGAGATCTCGGATACAAGCGGCCAAAATGAGTTTTCTCCGCAGAGTGTCTGGACTCTCCCTTAGAGATAGGGTATCCTCAGTCATCCGGGAGGGGCTCAGAGTAAGAGCCGCTGCTTCCCCACATCGAGAGGAGCCAGTTGAGGTGGCTCGGGCATCTGGTTAGGATGCCTCCTGGATGCCTCCCTGGTGAGGTGTTCCAGACACGTCCCACCGAGAGGAGACCCAGAGGAAGACCTAGGACATGCTGGAGGGACTATGTTTCTCGGCTGGCCTTGGAACTCCTCGGGATTCCCCCGGAGGAGCTGGCCCAAGTGGCTGGGGAGAGGGATGTCTGGGCCTCCCTCCTTAAGCTGCTACCCCAGCGACCCGACTCCTGATAAGCAGAAGAAAATGGATGGATTCTTGGCAATGTTGTGATTCCCTTCACTTACTTGAAGTAAGCACACAAAACTTAGTTGGTTAAAGTCACAATTCTGTAACTTTTATTGTGTTTGAATTTTTTTTCTTCCTTCAGCTGCTCCTTCAAACTTCGCCACTGTGAACTAAGTCACACAAAGACCTGGCAAATATTTTTATGCCAAATGTCCTTCCTGACCCAACCACAGACCACCGAGCTACTACAGCTCTCTGTGTGGAGCAGAGAGCTGCTATTTAGGGTGCCGGGGGGGAGCAGATACGGAGGTATGAGGTAAGGGCTTTGCTCTAGGGTCCAGAGTGGGGCAAATGAAGGTGGAGACATGTGTGGGTGCTTCATCTATCCCACCCACATTTTGATGTTGTCGGTACCGGGAGTTGAACCAGCGATCGTCTGATTACAGGCCCACCATCTAGCCTCTGCACCACCACTCCTGTAAGTTTAAATAATCAATATGAAGTTATGGCAAAAGTGTTGAATTAATGTATGAGCATAACCAGTAGTATTTCAGAAGGGTGAATAATCTGAAAATTGTTTAAACTTTGATGAGAAATGTTATCTGAATCTTGAACTAATGCTTAGAAATTAAGGAAAGTTTTCTGAGGTTCGTGAACTAACTTAAAGGTGTCTAAAAAGAACCGATTGGCACCGAGTCTGAAGTTCTTCGGCAGAAGGAAAATGGTTCTCATTACCCATGATGAATACGAGGTGAAAGGGCTGGTGTTCGTCATCCCATGAAGTGACTATTCTCTCCAGAACTACGATTCATTCAGACAGACAGCACCATTGTTCCAGGGGTGTCTGAAAGAGTTCTGTGGACTTTCTCCACATTTCAGCTAGCTGGCTCCATCCCAGACAGAGGGCCCGGAGCATGGCTCGGAGACCCAATACAAACTTCAAACTTAAAGACGATAATGATAGACTCCCTTTGGTGTTGGCTTTACCTGATTGTTGATGGTGAGTTGCCTGTGCAAATTGTGTCCAATCAACGCAACTCTGATAAACAAAATGGCTGTTAACTGAGTTGCTTAAAATAATTTTGATGAGATAACTCACCTTTCAAAGTTTAGAGGGAAAACAAAAATGCTGTTTTCTTTAAATCCAAAAAAGTTCAATCTGGTCCTCTGGACATTCAAAAAAAAAAACCCAAAAAAATCTAGAAACGTTTCGTCTCTCATCCAAGAGACTTCCTCAGTCTGAGGTGCTG